CTGTGTTGCATGTGTGTCAAGAAAGAAGCAAGCATGAAGAAAAAGGAAGTGTACCTAATAAAAGAAGGAGGAAAGGAACAAGGTTTATCTGGCAAAAAATAATACATTGGGAAATAAAAATTAGCAGAAAAAACTTGTAAGATTTCATTTTATTTTTCTGATTCTAAATGTTTGGTATTGACATCCAGACCATTATAAAGGCCAAAATATAATCTCAGTAAACAGATGAGTAGATTAAATAATAAGTGTAAGTAAAAGCAATAATAATCTGCCATTAAATGTTTTTATTTTCCATAGATTGTTCCAATAACGGTATAAATTTGTCTTTCTTTTTTCCCACAGTGATTAATTTGCCTTGTTGCCATTTTTATTGACTTCAGCAACATTGTGCAGGGGAATTAGAGCATCCATTTGCTGTTGCTATATGTGAAGCTAGCCTTAAAGGCAACTGATGACGGGCTTTCTGTCTCCCATTCAGTTATCCACTCATCTCTCTTAAAGTAGAACAATCTTGACTCAGGACAAAGAAAGAAAAACTCCAGACGTGTGAACAGCACCTCCTCACGACACATCCCCACGTTAACAGTACATCAATCTGACCCCGCTCCCTAAAAGATCATCGACTGCGCTTCAGCTTCTCAGTTAAGCTTGTATGTAGTGAAAAATCTACCGTCTACAGTGGTGAGGGATTATATTAAACAAGGGTTTAAAAATCGTGTGTACTTTTTATAAAGAGGGTTAAGAAGTGGATGTCAATGTTATGTGACATGAACAAGTTTCCATTAGAGCACTGAAATACCAGCTGTTTCGATATTAAATTTGCCTTTAGGAATTAATCTGTAAGTGCTTGAAATGTAAGCTTTATTTAACGTTGTTTTGTTGTTGTTTTTTCCTAAAAGAATTATCCGGTTTTTAACATACGGATAAAAGGCACTACTGTTCAACGGAAATCTTCATTTTGTGGGCTATTTACTGTGGCATCATTTAATTTGAGTTTTAGAGGGAATTTTTTGTATTTAACTTACGTTAAAAATGGTCAAAGTAACTTACTTTTTTTAACGATATTTGAAATGGTCGCTAGCAGTTATGTTCCCGCCACTGCCTGTTACCATTATGGGTGTAAAGTATGGAGGACCACAAGAGCCACACACATTGAAATAAAGGATTCTACTTAAATGATGAATTGTAGAACAAATTCTGCATCTGTTAATTCATTTGAACTAATTTAACCCTCTGGGGTCGCGGGACGCGTCAAAATCACATGACCAATTTAAGAGGACACAGCTACAAGATGCAGCACGTCAGAGTCTCCATTCCAACTTGGGTCGAAAGTGCGGACTTCAAGCTATATACCAGTTTACCATGTCAGCCAATCAAAAAAAATGATAAGGCAACATGTGACATTTGGTTGTTTAGGGAGAAGGGGAAGTTTTTAGGGGTGACACCCGCAACGGAAAGCGGGCGAGCGAAAGAAAGAGAGAGAGCGAGTTTTCATATGTGAGACATTAGTGACGTTTAGCGTGTTTGGAGGCTAGAGTTAGTTTACCTGCTCTGTTATGGTAACTGTCTTGATTAAAAAATATTTTTATATATTTAAAAGCATATAAATTAACAAAAACATTAAAGAGTGTTTGAGAACATTTATCCAGCCATGATTTGAAAGCATATAGCCCACATTTTAACAGACTGGTGTAGCAGTGAAGATGTTTAATCTGCAGTGAAAGTAATATAATAAAAGTCACATGTTGTACCAGCTGTTCCAGTGAAAGGTTTGTCCCATTAGCTTGTCTATATACCTTTTAAGTTACATTTCATCAAACAGTCCTGAGAATCCACACAAATGATCTTTTTATATATTACAGTCCAAAGTGAATGCAGATGGTCTCCTGCAGCTTTAAAATATCTAAAGGACACCGAGTGTGGAAACGATCTGTGTTTCTTTTTTTGGTCATCATTAAGTGCTAAAAATTCTGCTGCTGATGTACTCACATTCCTACCAAAAGACTTCCCTTTTTTTTCTCAGAGGAAAAACTATTTCAGAAATGCAATGAGGAACCAACACGTGTTAGAGCAAGAAAGAAAACATCTTATCTGTTACAGCTTGGACATCAACAGCAGATAGTTGTCCTCTTCACCTGGCCCTCTCTATCTGCATAATATTAGCATAAATCACAGGAAGTGGACACAGCATCTCTACAAGAAGGACTATTTCAGAGATTAATTTTTAATGTGAGAAACAGGAAGGAGAAAGACGGAGAATGGCTGAATTCAGGTGGATTCAAATGTTTTCATCAGTGATACTAATGCTTCAATTGTCAGGTAAGAATATTTAAACGTTTATAAATGACATTACAAAAGCTTAGTTTGTTGACATTATTGATTTTATTCTTTTCTTCACAGCAGCAGCAGCTGACTACTCTGAGTTTATTATCAGGGATGAAGGTGAGGTCACTTTGTCATGTGAAAATGTGACAGATGATCAAGATAAATGTGACAGAACTACCTGGCTCCTAAGTCAATCAAATAGAGCCGTAGTAACACTGTTTGAAAACGGGAAGATTCACCAAGGGGCCGAAAATAAATCAGACAGACTGAGTGTTACAGCAAAATGTTCTCTGGTTATAAAGAAGCTCACAGCTGAGGATGTTGGTCAGTACACCTGCAGAAGGTTCAACAAATCAGGACAAAAAGAAGGTTCAGACTCTGTAGCTGAGCTGTCTGTTGTTAACCGTGAGTATTTCCATCATAATGTTTTCAGATTATTAGAACATCAAACTGAAACATTACAATAACTATAACTACAGTGATGATTACTGTAAATGTTATTCTTGTTCTCTCTTTTTTAACAGTAACTGAATATAAGGATGATGACACAGTGACATTGAAGTGCTCTGTGTCCACATATAAAGAATGTAAATACACTGTGAAGTGGCTCTATGGTAACAAAGACCTGAGGATGTCACAGTCTGCCTGCAGTGTGACCTTTGCAACATCTGATCATATTTACACATCCAAGAACTCTGAGATGTTGAAGTGCCAAGTAGCACATGGTGGAAACGTGCAGGAGTTTATCTTCAGTCAATCTTCTGGTCAGAGAAGGGATACGTAAACATTTCAGTCCTTACAATAACTTCATCCTGTTATAAACAAACAAAGAATTTTTTTGGGGATATGATCATAGAAAAAGTGCTTGTACGATTGGGTGAATAAGGCAAGTTGTATAAAGCGCTTTGAAGTCAGGTAAAGTAGAAAAGCACTGCAAAAGAAGCACAATTTAACAGACTTCAGAAGCCCGCTCCTACCAACAGTCAGCGTTGGATTCTTATACACGATACACTTACTTCACTTCAGCAAGTTCCCAAAAATAAGCTGTAAAAGAAAACATCCTGTGGAGATGTATTAATGGAAAGAAGGAAAAGGGGAAGTCAGCTTAATGAGGCTGCTGTTCATTTTCTGTTCCAGTTTATAAAAAAGCTTATTTTTTTAAAAACATTTCTGTCAGTGAAATAACATTATAACCAGGACAATATTTCTTTGTTGGTCATTTTAAGCAAATACAATGATCTTAACCGAGTAATTTTATACAACCTAAAACACATTTGATTTTTATACATCAGGATTTTAAAAAGACAAGAACCTGCAGACATGATGTTTTTAATGTTTTTCTTTTTCTTCAGGTGTGTGGAAGTTTATTGTTGTAGCGCTGGGGTTAACAGTACTCATAATGAGTGCTTTCATAGGCATCATATGGAAGAGAGTTAAAGGTGAGAGCTTTCACAAGACTGAGCTTTCATCACCAGGGAGACTGCAGAAACCAGGATGGACTTTCATTCTAAAAGCTTGAATTGATTTTTCTCTTTTTCAGGACACAAATCACAGATGAATGAAAATGCTGTGAGTTATAACACTTTCATGCTATATACGAGTAATCAGTCTTTCTTACTGATGTGATTATAGTCTGCTGTGTTTATGAGGCTTCTTTGTCTGTTTTATTTGTTTCAGGAACTCAGTTTAAACCCTGCAGTGACTCTGTCTGCTCCAGGAACCATTCAGGACTCTGTGAGCTCAAATACTTACTCACCACTTGTATTTGTTCTCCCATATGTTGAATCTAAGCATTACTGAGCAGTCTCTATGTTGTCGTATCTGTGCAGGCTGAATCTGAATACGCTGTTCCCTCCATCAGCTACACCAACAACACCACCAGTAAAGCTCAGGTAAGCTGTCCTGTTGGTTATTCAGGTGATGTCAGTTAACAACAATACAAATTCCCATGAAAGAGCAAGGTAAATGTTGATATCTGAGTGTTAAGAATAAATATTAAGATTATAATATTATTATCATATCTGCCTTACCCTACATTATTATGGTCTTAATTATTTTGTTTTTTGTGTATTCACTTTTAGGTTGTGGGTCAAGATGATGATGAAGATGATGACACAGTGACCTACATCACCATGAAAAGTCACATCACTTCTGCTGCACCCTCCAGTGATCCCAGCAGCCTCTATGCTGCCATCAACAAGCCAGTGAGAGACACGTGTTGACGAAACAGCTACAGCTCATACAAGCTTTCTTACGTTACACTGGTTATGGTTGCGCTCAGGCCCTTTTCAACCTGTTATTTGTATCAGATTGTGTAAAAATGTTTCTAATAGGCTTAAGTTCTCCATGTTTAACAAAAAGGATATTATACTGCTCATTTACATTTCTAACACAGAATGTTGCACTATGTTTTATCCATAAATTGTCTCCAGTTTGACAAAGTTCAGAATTTATTACTGTAGCAATCCCTTTATCCAGAAGGGGGTGCTGTATATTCATTATAACAAAATGTGAAGCAGTGGAAGAAATAATCTAACATCCTCAGACATAATAAAAGTCACATGTTACATCAGCTGTTTCTGCTTGCAGTCATCTAAACATCTATATCTCAGAACTGTTTGAGTGTGTGTTTCAAAGCTGAATTAGTTAATTATTCAGTATTCAACAATATAGAATCACAATGGAAAACAACAAACTTCATTTTTACATTGGGCTATACATCCTGTGATTAACACTCCTCTAAATCCCTATGCTTTGTGAAAATCATCTCTTTGGGATTTATGATTTGTTCGTCTCTGTAAACTTTTCGATTGGACAAATGGGAGAGAGGGGTTTCACCCACTCAAGGTGCATTTCCTGCTACTCCCTCTGCTCGGCGCAGCAGGAAAACTGTTATTGCACCACACAAGGAAAAGAAAAAACATGGTTTTCAAAGTGTGTGCTGCTTCATACATCTCATTGCAATTGTATCTGTGGCGTCTGATACGAGCCCTTTTGGTTTGGCGGTGTGCATAAACTCTGAGCATTATGATTCAGTTTCTCATATTGCAGAAGTAAATAAAGTAAAGTGGACAGGACAACCAAACCTTACTTAACTATCTAAGAGATGAATTTTAGGAGTCACTTTAACAACAACTGGCTGTTAATAAATGAGGAACATGGAAGCTGTGACAGTCTGGTTGTGTAAGAATAATGGCAGAAATGTGAGAAAGAAAGCTGAAAGTCATAATGAGGAAGTCATAGATCGAAAACTACAGGAAGAAGACACCCTTATGCTTTAGAAGCCTGAGAAGAAAGGAGAGACTGAGAGACATGATGGTTACATTTAGATGGATAGAAATGTTTCTGTTCTTTGTACTCATGCTTCAGTTTGGAGGTAAGGATGATTTGTACACTGTACATCGTCTTAGGATTTGAAAACTAACTCTTCTTTTTCATTTTAGTAATATCATTTTTATTTAGCACACAAAGCTGTGGTGTTTCTGTGAACAATGAAAACTGAGTTTGATGCACTCTTGAAAAATGTAGTGTTAACATTTTTGATTCTTTGTCGTGTTCTCAGGAGCACCAAGTGGAGATCTTCCACTCTCCTTCACTGTCAGAGATGGAGATAAAGTCACTTTGCCTTGTGTAAATCTCATCAACAATCATCACAACTGTGACACTACTGTCTGGCTCTTCACTGATTCAAGAGGCACACCAGCAGTAGAGCTGGTTTATCTTGGACAAATCAAAGAAAAGGCCAAATCAGACAGACTGAGTGTTACAGCAGAATGCTCACTGGTTATAAAGAAGGTCACAGCTGAGGATGTTGGTCGTTACACCTGCAGACAGTTTAGAG